TTGATCACTTCCATGAAATAAAACGAGAAATTGGAAAAGAGGAAAATAATTTAGAAAATTGTTAAAATAAAATTAGGGAACTGATCACAGATGTATTGTTTCTGTGTGTTTTTACATCTGTTGTTGCGTTAATCTGCAGCTATGCTTTTAATGAAGCTGACATGTCATGACAGTCAAGCACCCCCCTGGTGGTCGAGACTGAAGGTTGCGGCACTCTTTATTGGGACTAATCTCAAAAACAATAGAATGTAATGGCTAGGTGTACTGCATCTGTGTTCAAGTGTGTTATTGTTGAAAACAATAATTATGACTTTATAGAACCACTTTTTGTAATATATATCAATCTTTTGATCATCTGCCACAATAATGTAATGAATTTAAATGAAAATACCTCAAGTTGGGGTTTTCTCTGCAATTTTGAGATGAGATTAAAAAAGAGATTAATTAGATCAGTTAATTACAGATCATAATTAATTAATCTCTCCATTTTTTTATTCTCTTGACAGCACTAATAATATTATTTGGTTATTCTAGATATTTGATTTCGTTATGATTAAGTTTTGCTAGTATTTTGTTTTGCTAATTATTTGTTTAGTTTAGTTGTGTTCTCGTTAGTATTTGTTTACTATTTTATTTCATTTTGGGCATACTGTGGGCACCAAAGATTATGTATGTAGGAAAGCAGGTAGGCGTCCAGAATGTACCTGGGCGGGCATATGGTTTTTTACCAGAGCGGGAGAGGCATGCAGGGATTTATTTGTTCTTTGTTTGTTTGCTTGTTTTTGGATAAATAAACCATTGGAAATGCATGGCCCTCTTTTGCCTGCATACACTACATGCCCATGGTGCGGCAGTGGTCCTTTGTTTTGTTTGACACAAGTTTGATTTGGATTATTCTTTTTCCTACAAACGGCCACTACACTGCTTTTTAGCAGGTCTGGTTTGATATGTATATTTTATTTAGTGCTGCACAGTTTGATAAAAATGTACGATCATGGTGGACAATATCGCGATTGCGATTACAATGTAATAAACAAAAAAAAAGGTATCATTAGTCTTCTTGCTTGATTCAGTGTTTCCCCTACATTATATTAGGGGGGCACTGACCTAACCCGACGTAGTTATTAGTTATGGACAGTGTGTAAATGACAGACTGAGCACAGTCAAACAGCTGCTCACACAGCAGCGCAGCACGGCACTGTACCTACAGCAGACCGTTCAGGCGTTGTCACGTAAATGACAAATTCCAGCACGCCATAGCACAACACAGCAGCATGTCAAGTGGGCCGAAACTGAGCAAAATTGCTCAGTTTTTCATTTGTTATTATATAGTTTGTTATGGAGTCCATGATTTCCCAGTGACACTTACAAATGTATGCGTAACTGTGCTTGGATGTTGTTTTATGAGGCTCTGGCGGCTTTCAGTTGTCTCTTTGT